CCATCATCCAAAAAACAAAGCATAAATCCTCCTCGAAGGTCCTCTCGCCTTTCTGTAAAAGAAGTAGCTGCCATTATAGAATTGTTACCAACTACATGGTGGCAACAAGAGTATGATCAGAAGGTAAACCAAGGTAACACTTGGCCCAAAAACGTCAAGTCAAACCTAGCTGCTAAGAGTCCTAGTCTGTGTGAGTTAAACTTCAGAGTCCCGCCAAAATATGAACTCCCTTCAAAGTTTCTCCAATGCTTTCTAGTTCATGACAAAGCTTGAGAGATTCAATAAGAAGAGCAGGGAATACCTGATCCAGCATCTAACTGCACCCAGGGCTGCTGAATATCCATGTATTTCACATGTACCTTCATTCTTCTGCTTCTCACCACCTGGCTTACTATCCTTTCAGCCCTCTGTCATGAACCCCTAAGCCACTAAAGTTCTCCAACACTATATATGCTCTTCCTTACCAACACTATTAGACAACTCAATATGGTATCTCCTTTGTGAGAAGTCTGAGATAACCTTAGGACAAACTGATCAAGCATACATGGTATAGACACAGTGGTGGCAGCTGTTTCCTGAAAGATGAATTACTATGCCTATGTATAAATATACCCAGGCTAACTACAGCTTCTGGCCTATCTGTATTCATCATCATATGTCCTAACTATGGGTCCTCAAAAGGACTCCTCAGTCCAGCAGTGAGAAGACACAGGGGCAAGGAGAGTTACTTGGTTTCTAGCTGACATGCCTGATTGGAAGAAGGAATGTCCTTTCAGAGTAAGATCCACAGCTGCTGTGGCAGGGCTTCCTGGTCAACAGAAAGGGAATACAACAGACTGTAACTGCAATTCTAGGGAGCAGAACACCCTCTTTAAACAGCTTAGACCCACTGTTAAGTGTTGTTGATTATGTGCTAAAATTATCTATAGGGCCTATGGGAACTAATATAAGGGCCTAGAAAGTAACTTAGGTAGTGTTCTCAGAATGCCAATAATCCTTGGGAATTTTTCAGATGTATTCTGCAGCAGCAAGTAGTTACTCATAGTCTGGGTTCAGGCATGCCACAGACAATGGAGAAGAGATTCTAAAATAATAAAGGGGCTATACTAGTTTCCAGGGTGCCTTTCCACCCAACAATGAGAACTCGGTGAGCATAGAATTAGCCTTGGAATCAAGGAAGTACAGAGACAAAGGAGAGAAGGACATGAGGCAGAGGTAGAGGCAGGGAACCTAAACAATCCAAGCAAGGAACCACTAACACCAATCTCCCCAGAATAGATGCTGTTCATAGTCCACTACTTACCACAAGAATAAAAGCAGCATTTCTACTAAGAGGAAGGAGACCTGTATAAGGGACAAGCCCAAAGCTTGTCCAAAGCTCAAAGTTTGGAACCTAGTCCCTGAGGATTTTTTAATCTCCCACAAGCTGCAGTTGACCAACTTTGTACAATTACCTAAACTAATCTCAGTTAAAATGTTTTGTCCCTCAGGCTAAAAATTCAAGTGAGTCATGATTGCCCTCTGCTAGACAGACTAGTTAATATAATTTAAAATGCTCTTTCAGAAGGGATATAAACCACTGAGATTTTCAAGTATCAGTCTGTTCACTAGAAAATCCAAGAGATATGGCAAGCAACTGCAAGAAAGTGCACAGTAGTTTCAACATTTCCATCTGGAGGATGTCAAGTGTCATAGAGACTCAAACTGGTCAGATACAGGGCATGGTAAAAGCAGTGTTCTAAATGTAGCCAAGAACCATACATTATGGCCATGAAAGGTACATAAAGACTCTGCTTTGAGGGCTATTGTAGAAACTGGTTTAAGTCAAATACATCTGAAAAATTCCCAAGGATTATTGGCATTCTGAGAACACTACCTAAGTTACTTTCTAGGCCCTTATATTAGTTCCCATAGGCCCTATAGATAATTTTAGCACATAATCAACAACACTTAACAGTGGGTCTAAGAACCTTTTCTGGCTCAAGGACTTCAGTTCAAAGCTTTTTCGTGCAGTTTACAAGGCAAAGAAATCCTACTGGGTGGATTCTCCAAGCCAGATAGTGACCACATCAAGTGATGGCTAATGGTGTCCAGGTCCATGGTCACATGCAGTACTGCCTTAGGGCCAAAAAAATCCTCACTTACACAGCAGCAACTTCAAACTCTGTAAATAGGCTCTGTGGCATCTCCATCTGACTATAATGATTATGTCAATTGCTGGTTTATTCCATGATAGTAACTGAGCACCTATGTGCCTGGCTCTGTGATGAGGACAAAAGCAGTGAACAATGCAGATGTGACCACTGTCTTCATGGAGCTTAAAGTCTTAATGAATTCTACTCTCTGCAGTGAATGAAGGAGGAAGGACAGGAGGGTTTAACCTGAAGAAGGCTGAGAAAACTATCACCTAGAGTAAAGTAGTGTGCACAGAATCACCTGAAGAGCTTGTAAAAATACAGATTTTAAGCACCACACCAAACAGTCTGATTATGTAGTCTGATCCAAGGTAGAGGCTGAGAATTTGCATTTCTAACAATCTCCATCTGATGTTGTCCATGGGTGGACCATCCTTTAAGAACTGAGCTAGAGCAGACAAGGAGAACCAGAAGGCTTTCCTGCTCAAAACCATCTTGATAGACATTACACCAGAGATTCATTTCTAATACCTGATATTTAATCAGTCAACTGAATAATAGCTGAAGCCATGGAAAAGACTGGGATGAAGGGAGAATTTCGGATGAAGGAGTCTTTAAGCAGTTGAGGTTGTATATTCTCCTTTCTATCATACATGCTGACAGCAAGACAGAGAAGGCAAAGTCAGACTGCCTTCTTTGCAGCTGTGTTTCAGATCCTAGTGGCAGGTATGTGAGACTGTCAGAACTAGTTTTGAAGGCTGAATATCTAAACTTCCTCCAACATGGCCAACTCCGGCTTGTCTAAGCCTGACATTTCACCATCCAACTCCCACGGAGAAGAACAGGAAAAGCAAAGAAGTGGGAGAAAAGATGTAAAATGCAGCTGAGTCAAAAGTCAGAGGTTATAAAATAGTGGTCTCCCTAGCAGAGGCTGTAATAAAATGATATCTAAATTCTTCATCATATTCTGCAATCTGTTTGAGTGATATTAATTTCTATTTCATTGCTCTGGCTAATAGATTCATTAACCATTACTCTGGCATCACAAAAGAGATCTTTCTTAAAGGAGGTGGCATTATCTATCCCCAGGAAATTGAGAAAATGAATAAAAACACAAGGTCTACTTATGAAAATCACACAGTGGTCTGGCCCTAACTATTAAGAATTATTTGTATAAATCAAGACCTCACACTTTGATAGGCTGGCTTCTTTTTCACCTGTCTTAGGCTTAAATACATTTTTTAAAAAATGCAACTTTGGGGCCAGCAGATAGTATAGCAATTATGTAGTTAAACTCCCATATAGCAGACTGCGGTTTAAATCCTGGAACCAGGGGCTTGAAACTCACAATGGGCGTGTATCCATGCATGCCTAAGATCCCAGGAGGAGAAAAGAGGAGAAGGGATTGCGGGTGGCCATCCCCCCTGGGGGAGAGGGGGATTTCTCATGTTCCCTCTCACTGTCTCTGTCTCTCTTTCCCCGGTGCACAAATGCATGCTAAGGCAAAAACTTCTTAAAAAAGCAACTTGTGGCAACTTCAGACTACATCTGATATATGGGAAATTTCCAAGTTCAGTATCAATAAGTTTCACATAGGAGGTAAGAAAATACTTTTCTTTGTGTACTAATAAGTCCTTAATAGTTATTACTGATTTCATTGCTTTTTTGTGCTAAAAGCATTAATGAGGCACTGAGGTAGAAAAGTATAAAATTAAGGATGCTTCTACCAAGACTCCTAGTCTCAAGGTACCTGGAGAAAACCAAGTCTTTTCCAAAATGCTACAGTGCTTAGTTCTTCTATCACACCATTTAATCCTTAACTGCTTTGACTGTTCCCTCAAGATCTAGTTATGCCTTCTAATCATCTGTACTATGCTAATTGTCTCTCCAATTATAGAATAAGTTCTTAGAGCAAAGGCCCTATTTCATCCTCTATGGAGTTTCTCCAAAACACAACAGGAGCAGGACAAAGCACAGGATAGATGAATGCTGGGTCTTTTTCATTTAAGTTAAAATCCAATTATTCTGCTGAATTCTGAGCATCAAGAACAAAATCTCCTTACTGAAAATCACTCACCAAAAGTGGCAAAGGTGGTAGGAATAAGCAGAGGCAATCTTTTTAAAAATTTCTTCAAAATAGACTCAGCTATCAGGATTCGTCTCTTTGACATCACTTAGAGGCCTGTCCTCTGTTTATCATTTGTGCAGTGATTAAAACAGCCACTTCTTTCAGAGATAGCCGTTTTCTACTACTCAGATGAAAGATGCTGTAGTTTGGAAAAGCACCTTCATTGGCATGATGGGTTTAGTAACTGTCTTCTAACGTTCTTTTGCTGTGCTCCTTTCTCCTGTTAATTTCTTCTAAAAATAAATGGAACCTTCTTTTCACAACACTGGATAGAAACCTTTCAGAATTTAAGTAGCATAACTTATAGCTGTTCCAAATAAATTCTTTGCTCTAAACTGTATCAGGCATGAGAAATTCATCACATCTGGAGGATATTCTTTATAGAGGTTCTGAAAATTACTATTTAGTTGTGGCTTGTTCTCATTTATTAAATGAGTCTATGAAGAAGGGTCATTTGATAACTTATATTCCCACATGAATATCCAGGGTTCTCAGAAGCTAGTCAACTTTATTCAAAATATTATTGCAGAGATCAGCAGATTACCAAGTAGTCAACCACAGTTCAAGTCCTGGCCCCAGTGGCTTAAATCTCACGTCAGGCGTGTGTGCGTGTGTGTCCAAAATCCCAAGAGAATGGAGGAAAGGGGACTGCACCAAGGTCATCCCCCCTGAGGGGTGATTTCTCACTTTCTGTCTCTCTTTGTCTCTCCGGAAAGCTCATGCTCCCTATAGCAAAAGTCTCTCTTAAAAAAAAAAAAAAAAATAGATATAATCCCAAACTATTTGATGACTTCAGAAAAATAAAACACAGACAACAACCAAAAAAATCCTATCATACTGGCTAAACTGTATTTAAAAGCTGACTTCTGGGACCAGTAGATGGTGTAATGGCTATGTCACAGGACTCCCATGTAGTTGACCCAGACCAGGTGGCTTAAACTGACGCCGGGTGCGTATGCGTGTGTGCCCAAGATCCCAAAAGGAGAATGGAGAAGGGATTACAGCGTAGCCATCCCCCCTGAGGGGTGATTTCTCGCTTTCTATCTCTCTGTCTCTGTCTTTCTGGCACGTGCACATGCCCTATAGCAAAAACCTCTCCAAAAAAAAAAAAAAAAAAAGCTAACTTCATCTATTCTGCTTCCAGATGTGTGGTATTTAAATGACCAAGAAAAGGTAATGGACAAATACTGAGCAGGCAGAAAGCAAACTATTAGACAAATTGAGAAAAGGTCAATGACTAAGTATTCTTCCACTGTTTCATCCACTCTAGGAAAAAAAGAGAGCTTTCCATAAAACAACCTAGCCAATTTCAAATAAGCTAAACAGCAGAGGCTGTTTAATAGCTTTAAATTCCAAGCCAAATAGTTTTCCTTCTTACCTGACACCTCTGAGAACGTCTCTGCAAATCTCAATGCCAGTCAAGTTACCAGCTGTTTTCTACAACATCAGCAACTCTGCAAAGCTGGCACTATTGCTTAGAGGGTGTAGAGAGAAAAAACGGTCCCTAACAAAATTTTTCCTTGGTTGTAAATACCACATACCTGAATATGCCTGCTAACTTGATCATTTTACTGCTGAACTTCATCGCACCCATACATCTCCTGGTGGCTATTTACAGAGACTTAGATATCCCATGTTAGTTTCTTTAAGTCAATATTCTTGGTTTCTATGTAATGGGCTGCCATTTCTACCTATGATCTGGAGTAATCATGTCTAAGCCTCCAGAAAACAGTTATTTTCCCACTCATTTTTTCTTAGGCACAGTAATAAATGCCTTAAGCGGAACTGGGCATTAAAGACCTAAAATCTGTCTTACCTGCAAAAATATCTATTCTGGTGGCATCAGCATCTCTGAAAAATTAAAAGAAAAAAATCAAAGTCAAAATGAGAACATTAAATATCAACCATCAAAATGCATCGTGTTTTGAGTAGAATGCATAGTTATTTTGAATGTTTTCAGGAAGCCATATAAAAATTTTATAAACTTTAAAGATTTACTAGGCAACATAATTTTTCTTTCATATCTGTGACACTACAAAGTATTTAAGATAATCACATGACACTTTGGGCCTAGGGCCTTTATTTTTTTATTTTATTTTATTTTATTTGAGAGGTTTTTGCTATAGGGCGCGTGCGCTCGCCAGACAGACAGAGACTGAGAGACAGAAAGTGAGAAATCACCCCCCAGGGGGGATAGCTGCGCCGCAATCCCTTCTCCATTCTCCTCTCAGGATCTTGGGCACGCACGCACACACACCCGGCGTGAGTTTTAAGCCACCGGGTCTAGGACTCGAACCACTGTCGACTACATGGGAGTCTAGCAACATAGCCATTATGCCAACTGCTGGTCCCAGACCTTTATTTTTAATGCAGATTTCATGGCGAAAACATCTAGAGGCGAAGACTATTTCCTTTTATACACTAAGAAGTTACTTAAATATGTGCTTCTCTCGCTCATTTGACTGCATTATAAAAAGGTACTCCAATAACTTGCTTTCTTCCTCGCCAAGACTTTAAGAAAACAATAATCTGCTACAAAACCTGTGAAAAGTCAGGTCTCACGGTGTATGCGTTGCAGTCAGCAGACTGATTCTATAATCTATCCTCTCTAACCTTGAAACAAAGTTCAGACAATCAACTAGACTCTAGCCATTGGCTAAAATCATATAAACTTTAGTCATCAATAAAAGCTCCCATAAAGGCCTGAAAGTAATGTAGTCCAATTCTGCCAAATGCAGGCAAGGAAAATGAAGCAGTTTCATTGGTTTTAAATGAAAAAAAAAAACAAAAACAAAAAACAAACAAACAAAAAAAGACTCAATATGTATACAGCTCTACAAGTACCTATTCTCAAAGATTTAAGGACATTTTAAGAATATGAGAGAGATTGGCAAAATTTGTGTATGCATGGGAACACATACACTCCTAAGACTCTCCAGTTTATCATATGACACACAAAAAAGGCAGCCCGCCAGGACCCACCATGGTAATAATGACCCAAAAAGTTTCTACTCCCAAGCATATATTGTATACATACCTTGCATTATCAACCAGTTCAGCAAGAGCACCAAACAAGAATTCATGGGTGGTTCTGAAATGATAAATACTAAGAGTCAGCAAAAGACATGTGAATTGAAGTATGACTCCTAATAAAAAGTCAAGGTAATAAAATACTAAAACATGCTTTGGAAAAAAAATCTAAAAATCACCATCTCTATTACTAACTTACACTTGTGAAATTAACACTTCTCTACAACTCAAGTCTTTCCAGAGCTAATTCCCTTCAAGTGTTAAATCTATCATGTCCTACTATCTATTCAGAAATGTTTACTCTCCCTATTTCATGTTGAGAAACCAAAACTGAAGCATTAAAAAAATTCTAGATGAGGGACCAGCAGTTAGCATAATGGCTATGTCGCAGGACTCCCACGTAGTTGACCGAGGTTCGCGTCTCGGACCCGGTGACTTAAACTCACGCCGGGCGTGTGCGCGTGCGTGCCCAAGATCCCGAGAGGAGAATGGAGGAGAAGGGATTGCAGCGTGGCCATCCCCCTGGGTGGTGGGGGGGTGATTTCTCGCTTTCTCTCTGTCTTTCTGTCTGGCGAGCACACGCACCCTATAGCAAAAACCTCTAAAAAAAAAAAGAAGTCTAGATGTACTAACTGCTAAAAGTTAACTAAAAGTTTCCACTGTTCATATTCTACCTAGAAAACTGTATTTTATTTTTCACTGCCTTCACCAGCTGTCAGTTTCTATACATCTTAGAGGAGGAATTTTAAATATATTTTTTATAGATAAATATCATCTTCATTTAGTTCTGAACAACATGGTAACTGTGTATTCACCCAACTCAAACTCTGAGTAGCCTCCCAGAGGAGATGACTACTAGCTCCCCTCCTTGAAGAATTTAACTGTAATGGGGCCCTAGAAGACCACACTAAGCTCTTGTCCTCCTAGAAGGAATTGTTGAAGAGGGTTTTAGATTCTTTAAAGTGGAGTTCTGTGTTTAGTCAAATTCTAAGTCAAGAAATGAGTTATTTTCTCTTTTCTCTCCCTCTTTCATATGAAAAATGTTTGCTATAAATTGCACAAAAGTATATGGATTTCCTTTTTTTCAGTAGTAGATCACAGACAGATGTTGATAAAGCCAAATGTTAACAAGGTATCCATTAACCATACTCAATTTACTTTTTAAATTTGTGCTGTTTCATATAATAGTCCTCATTAGATAAACAAGAAGTAGAATGTGTCGATATAGAACCACCTAAAAAAAGTTTGACTTTTCATTTGAGGAAAAAACCATTAACTCACACAATATATTATCATCCAATTTTCAAATTATACCAATATCTAAATTATAACTATAGCTTTTTCTTTTTTGAAAACTTTTACCGAATAGCCAAAATTAGCTTTTTTTTTAAATTTAGAATGAAATGCATCAATGTTAAATTTCTAATTTCTCATCACTTACTATATTGTTTTAAACAAAATGACCAGGAACATTGTTTTTTGTTGTGATTTTTCCCCCCTCAAGTAACTTCATATTTTCACAAATACAAAGGTAGAGTAAAATAAAAACAACTGGTTCTTGAAAGTTTAGGAAACTTTGTCCCACAAGATCAGTGAATATATGCCGCTAATCCAAAAGCAGCACCAATAAATATGTTGTTAACAAAAATCAGACATTGTAATGCCAATTCACTTAGAAAATGGAGCACAAATGTTAATGGCTAATATCCAAATCTTAATTATTTTACATAGAAACACCAAACTTATAAAAGAAAACCTGCACAAAACAGCCATATCTTTAAGTATTAAAAATATTTAAGTCACTAGAACTGTCATTTTAAATTATCAACTGAATAAACAAAAGGTGTTCAGGAAATTATTCCACTAAATAAACAGGAAGATAAGCTGGAAAATTAAGGTGCCTTACCAAAGTAATGTAAGTTAAAGTGACTCTAACAAGCTTTCAACAAGTCATCTTCCTATCTAATAAGTGACTTAAAAACTTACAACATGGGGCCAGCAGATGGTGTAGCAGTTACATCACTGGACTACCACATGGCCAACTGTGGTTCAATCCCTGGATCCAATGGCTTCAAAATCATACCAGGTGCATGTACATGAATGCCCAAGATCAGGGAATGAGAACAGAGAAGGGATTATGGTGTGGCCAACCTCCCAGCGGGTGATTTCTAACTTTCCTTCTCACTTGTCTCTGTCTCTCTCCAGTGAGCACACACACCCTAAGGCAAAAACCTCTACTGAATTTGTTTTTATACTCTAGGGTTTTCTTTGTTTTGGGATTTTTGCCATAGGGTGTGTGTTTGCCAGAGACAGAAAGAGAAAAGTGAAAAATCACCCCCATAGCCATGCCACAATCCCTTCTCTTCCAGTTTCCTCTTGGGATTTTGGGCACACACACACACACACACACACACACACACACACACACCTGCACCCTGCATGATTTTCAAGCCACTGGGTCCAGGACTAGAACCAGTCTGCTATGTGGGATCTAGTACATTAATTCCATGCTACCTGCTAGCCCTAGTTTTTGTTTGTTTGATTTTTTTTTTTTACCTTGAAGACTGTTACACAGAAATATAAAACAGAACCAGTCATTGTGGTATAAGCAGTAGGGTGTCACCATGCAAGGCTCAGGCCACATGGGAGGTCTGGGTTCAAAACCTGAACCAACTTAGACAAGCCAGGAATGATGGCATGCACCTGTGATCCCAGGTAACTGAAAGGTTGGGGCAGAGGATCACAAAGGCAAGACTGTGTTAAAAATTCCTAACTCTAATATCTATCTCCCTTCCTTTTCCCCTGCATACACACTATTTCTCTGTCTGTGTGTATGCACGTGCACATGTCTGCATACAGCCCTAAAGTGCAGTGATTTAAGTGCTGTTCATAGAAAGCCAGATTCCACATGGCTCACTTGGTTGCTGGACCTGGACCTGGTGGCTTGAAAAACATATATTTATGGAATTCCCTCCGGGGGGGGGGGGGGGAGGGAAGAGCACATCCATAGTAAGAATGAGACCATAATTAACTTTGAAATAAATAAGTTAAAGAATGAAGTTTCTGGGGGCCTGCAGGTGGCATAGTAGGTTACATCTCTGGACTCCCATCTGGCCAACCAGGTTCAAGTCCCAGACCCAATGGCTTCAAACTCACAGTGTATGTGTATGTGTTAGTGTCCAAGATCCCAGGAGGAGAATGGAGAAGGGACTGTGGCATGGTTATCCCCTCTGGGGAGTAACTTCTCACTTTCCCTCTCACTGTCTCTCTCTCTGGCGAGTGCACTCACCATAAGGCAAAAATCTCTTTGAAGAAGAAAAAAAAAGGGATTAAATTTCTGGTCTTTCTGGTAGTCAGAAGGGTGAATATGAATAACATGGAAAACTAATTACATGGAAAATCTGACACTCTTTGCCCTAAGAACAAGAAAATCAATATCAGAAATCATTGTTTCTCTGCAATACATATTTCTTTTTTTTCTTTTCTTGGAGTTTTTTTGCTATAGGGTGCGTGCACTCGCCAGAAAGACAGAGAGAGACAGAGAGACAG